ATGATATCACGAGTGCGCGGCAGCGGCGTCTGCTACCATCGTGGATATGTATAGTCGTGGTAACTTCCTGACAGACTAATGATAATGACGATAATACGCCGACATATAGAGCGGCAGCATGCCTGCACAGCGCTCCACGCGCGTCCGACCTACTCTACAATGCACACGCGTCCCATATGTCATCTGCTGCATCCCAGCGGAGACACGTTCTTGTTTCATTACCTCCGCGCGAAGGTTGCAGGGAGGTAATGTAATCGCTCTCGTGTGTGTGTGTTCGTGTGTGTGTTCGTGGTGTGTGTGTAGCCAGCAGCGAGCCAGCTGTTATACACATGTATACATATATTACACGCGTTGGCGCGATCGATTCAGCACAGCTCGCCTTAGTTCGTCCAGTCAGCAGCAGCTCGCCTAGGCGTTCAGTCAGCAGCAGCCAGCAGCGAGCCAGCTGTTATACACATGTATACATGTTACACGCTCGCGAGGGTATGGCACTCTTTTTGAGTGCCCTCTGTCTAGTTTACGATGTATTTTGCGTGTCGTTATGCTACCCCCATGCATGACTCTCGCCGTACACCTGTTTTGTTTATTATGTGCGTGTTTATTCCCTAATTAAATCATTAGTCAATGTCTATAATCGTGAAATTTATAGCAACTATATTCTTAAGTATATTATGTATGTGTGTATGTGATTGCGTGCGTGCGTAACGTGGTGTGTGTGTGTGTGTGTGTGTGTGTGTTTTGTTGTGTGTGTGTGTGCGCGCGCGCGCGTGTGTATGTGTGCGTGTATGTGTGTGTGTTTGTGTGTGTGTGTTTGTGTGTGTGTGTGTGTGCGTGTGTATGTTGCGTGCGGCGTGTGTGTGTGCGGGCGTGGCATACATGCGAGTATGTTATTCTCTACGTCTCATTTTGCGATCTAGTGCTATATACGTTTGGTTTTTTCGACACCCTGTTTCTTTTAACTGCTCATTAGCTAATACTCTTGCATACTACCAGTTCCAGCAGTTCCTGTCTGCATGATACCATTACCTCTTCAATTAAGGGGTGGGGGTTGATACCACCTGTAGACGAAATCAATAGGCCTTGTTATTAACGTGTACAGGGACTTCCCTGTTCGACATTTAAACACAAGAGCCATTAGACGGGATAGCATAGTTCTGGCAGCAGATAACTGCTCCTCGTCGCACAGCACGTGACCATGCAGGTAAACGTAACGCTGACTTGTCGGCAACGTTGTATATTGTATACATATTAATGAAGACATACTATATAGAAAATACCAAAGGTAGAATAACTATAAACATTGCCAATACTAGGGCTGTAATAATATTCAAGAGTCCATAATAGAAAAGGATTTGTACACTGTTTTTACAGCGTGCTCGGCATTTTTCTATTAATGGACTCTTGATATATTGGAGTGAACATTATATCAGGAGCTTATAAATGGAATTATAAGTCTCATAAGCTTATAAGCCATTTATAACGTCCTGATTAAATGTACGTGGATGCCTTTTACTTTCACGTCTCTACTCTTTAAAACAAAAAATCTCAAGAATGTATTTTATGCCTGCCGTAATTTAAAGCCGCACTATGCCGCATCACACAGCTAATTTCTCCAGTACTAGACTAGCAAATACTTCATGTCATGCAGAATCATACTACCTTATGACAAAATAAACTCTAGTTCCTCCCATTTCACTGCGCCTTGTCTTATAAAAGCATTTGAAAATACCTCCAATGTTGTTCAAATTCTCCGACGGTTGTTGACAGTTTTCGGCGTTGCCTTCCTCCCAACAACCGTGCAGCGGTGCTGCGGTACAGCGGTACGGGTGTAGCAAAGATAAAAACATGTGACGTCACCTAACCGCTTCGAGGCTAAATTGTTTGGCAAACAAGTCGGCGTTGGCGCCAGATTACCAGATATCGCACCTCTTTCTTGTCGGTTTTAAGCAAACGCGCAGTGAAATGGGAGGAACTAGAGTTTATTTTGCCATAAGGTAGTGTGATTATGCATGACACGAAGTATTTGCTAGTCAAGTACTGAAGAAATTAGCGTTTAGATGCGCATAGTGCGGCTTTAAATCCTGTTCAATTTCCGATTTTTGTTAATCGCATAGTTATGTACTCAAGCTCAAGCAACATCATTTAGCTTGCCAACCCGTTGTTGAAACTGTTTCTAACAGGTTTACTGCGTGTATTCGCCCTAGAAATAGATCACTATTGTTCCATAAATACGTTTAGAATAGCAGAGCGGCGGTGGGTCGTTGTACGCACGATTACGTCATTATAAATTGAAGCTACACTTGCGCTTACAGTCCCGCGCGCGGCAGCTACGGCTAGGTTCAACGCACTGAAAATTACTCTAAATTATCCGGCGACTAACTACGATTCGGCTGTGCAAACCGATGGCAGCGACGTCACGCGTCACGCGGCGTGTAAAAACAATGTGCTTGCTTGCCATCAATGGCCGCCGTCATCAACCGATCCATCCACCCACCCACGG